GCGCCCAGGGCTCTCCACAGGGCCAAGGGCGCTCCGCGCCCGCCTCACTTCGGTGGCTCTCGGCCCCGCCAGGTTTCACGGGCGGTCCGATACCCCCCTTTTTTCCTCCGTTCAAAGAAGGCTTCTGAGGGCGCCATTGCTGAGGGTTGTATGTGCCTGTCCCCCCTGCACAACGGCTTTTAACAGTGGCATTGACTTTACAAAGGAGAACCTGAGAGCCTCTTGTTACAGCCATAACAGAGCCCTTCTGCGGTCAGCTCCCTGAGTGTCTAATAGCACCAGGTATTAATTAATCAGGATGAAAAAAACAAGGTAAAAGAATCTCATCATTCATAGATACGTTTATTTCAAATTATAGCATCTACAGCATGTTGCCTTTATCATTTGAGCTCGGTTTAGTCATTCTCTGTGTTTCTTTGCTAAGGTGTGCATCTTTGATACTAGTTGAGACCATGGGAGCGGCACTGGCAAGAGCAGCTCAGTGGACTGCTGCTGGTTCTGGAACTGGCACACTCGAAATCACCCCTTTGAATGAATCTCTTTTAAATCAAATTATTAAGTTTGTGGATGACTTCAGCACTAGACATCCTCAGGAAGCAGTGTTTGTCTTCAGAGAGCCCCTTGAGTGGAAAACACAATTGGATTGCTCAGTATTCGGAGAGGGTTATGAGATCAAGTAAGTCTGAATTGCAATGTGTTTTGAAGGTGAAATATGAAGCAAAACTGCTCATTTAGCATAAAGAAAGCCATAGTGTATTTGGGAGGCTGAAATGGGTGGTTTTTTACTGACATGTATTGAAAATTTTGAGTTAAAATTTGTAGGGTTTTTGAGCGTTTGAGGCTATTATCTTGGTTGTGATACAGACCTGTTTAGTTAGTGATTTATACAACATGCAGTGTCTATTCCTAAAACTTTTTATAACATGCATCTAACAGTGATTAACCCTGTGACTTCTGTTAGTGCTAGGAGTGGCTCCTGTGTGCTGGGTTCACCTTGGCTGCTGCCAGGTGCCCACCAAAGCTGCTGTATCACTTCCCCTCCTCAGATGGATGGGGGGAGAAAATATGATGAAAGGCTCATGGGTCAAGATAAGGACAGGGAGTTCACTCACCGGTTATTGTCACGGGCAAACCAGACTCTACTCAAGGATATTAATGTAATTCATTGCCAATCAAAAGTCAGAGTAGGATAATGAGAAATAAAAGCAAATCTTAAAACACATCCCCCCCACCCCTCCCTTCTTCCCAAGCTTAGCTTCACTCCTGATTTTCTCTGTGTCCTCCCCAACAAGTGGCACAGGGGGATGGGGAATGAGGGTTGCAGTCCGCTCATTACATGTTATCTCTGATGCTCCTTCCTCCTCACACTCTTCCCCTGATCAAGCGTGGGGTCCCTCCCATGGGAGACAGTCCTCCACCAACTTCTCCAATGTGAGTCTTTCCCACAGGCTGCAGTTCTTCATGAACTGCTCCAGCGTGGGTCCCTTCCACGGGGTGCAGACCTTCAGGAACAGACTGCTCCAGCATGGGTCCCCCACAGGGTCACAAGTCCTGCCAGCAAACCTGCTCCAGCCTGGGCTCCTCTCTCCACGGGGCCACAGGTCTTGCCATTAGCCTGCTCCAGTGCACGCTTCCCACAGCACCAGAGCGTCCTTCAGGTGTCTCCATCTCCTGATTTGCAGTGAATAAATTGGTTTTACCTGAGAAGTTTTCTGAAGTTTAAAGAAATTGTATATGCTTTATCATGTGAAGCTTGAATAACATTCAAGATTCTTCTCTGAAATTTGCCATTTATTAAAATTCTTATTTTAAAAAGATATAATTTAATTTTTCTAGTGGAGCAACCGTTCAGTCTGAAGCCAAAGGTAAAGATGGCCAGCCATTGCTTCTCCTCACGGCATCAACACTCAGAGTTCGCAGTTTTGACCAGCTGTCCTGTTTCCTACAAATTGCTATGGAAAAAAGGTTAAAGGAAGCACAGGCATGCCTCGAAGGTTTCTTTTCTTCTTTTTTTTTAATTTTCCTCTTTCTTAAAATGTGTGTCTTCTCCTTCAACTCATGTTTATGAAATGTGAAGAAAGAAAGGCATACCTTCATTTATGTATATAAGAAAGTGTTGATTCATGAAGGTGGCTAAAGGTGCTGATCCAGACATTAATGAAGTTTCTATTTCTTCTTTTATTTTCACTGAAATCAATAACAGAGAAATCTAGAATAAAGTTAAAATAGAAGTGTTGAATCTCATATACAAATTCATGTATACTGAGTAATACCCCAGCTATTTCAACAGATAGTAGGTTTAAATTTATGAAAAAGAATGTCTTATTGGAGGCTAATAGCAGTTTTTTTCCTATGATTATAGTTTAATCCTCTTTTAAAATGTTACATCCTTAAAAAATAGCCAAAGAAAAACTTACATGCTTTAGACATTCTTACTTGCACAAGGTTCACAGTGAGCACTTCCAGGTCCTTCTCACAATGGCTTTTAAAATATAGGTACAAATACTTTTACTTGTCATATTCAAGTCTGAGATTTTCAAATTGACAAGAAGACTCTTGATATACTAAAGTGGATATCCTCCTCCCATTCGAGGTAGAAGAGATCAGTAATATTCTTTGGTAATATTAGTAGAAATTGCATCTCCAGTACTAAAATATAAATGCTTATACTGGATCAAACTTCAGATCCATCTAATCCAGGGTCCTGTCAGTGACAGTGATCAACCATGAATAATAGAGAAGAATAATATGGACAGGGTATCATGCAGAGGCGTTCACAGATTCATGGGACTTCATTTTCAGGAACAGAGGAAAATGTTTTTGTAAAACCCATTGACATGCAGTTATGTCATTGTTTACCAAAAAGAACAGCTGGCATAGCTGAGGAAGTAATGGGGCCATTGGGAATACTGCTAGAAAACTTTAAAGATGTTCTTTAACACTAAGTCATATTTCCAAAATGATAAATTTTCAGTGAGTTAAACCCATTGATTTCCTGTTTTAGTGATCATCACTCAGGCATATCTTCTGGAAAGGGGGCTGTTGATAAAGGGAACTATTTAATATTTACCTCTTGGTTGAATAAAGCTCAGTCTTTGTTGTGGAAAGCAATTTTATTTGTTATGAAAAATTTCTTTTTGTTGTTAATGTTTTCATATTTTTGAAAGTGCATTTCAAATTACAACAGAGGGATATGAGACAGTACATCATACAGTAATATTTGATGAATAACTATGCATATTATTAAAGTTCTTATTGTAGATTGAAATTATTTAGCAATTCAGATAAAAAGTATTTGTCTTGCCTGATCATTTTTAACAATATATGATTCTGTTTCATGTTTACAGCTAACAGAGATCCTATAGTGAAAATTCTTGGCCCAGAATATGGGACTGTTGAAGGAGGAGATATGTCCATGTTGCATTTACTTGACAAGGTGAAAAAAAATGATGACCCTGAAACAGAGACGAGAATGAAAATCAGTCGTCGTCTTCATCAGCTGGATTTGCAACTACTTAATAGTTCTTTGAAACAGATTTCACAGTAAGTGCATTTCAAATGGAAACTAAGCATGTCAGCCAGTGCATTTTTTTGTTTTATTGTTAAATCAGATTGGTTTCAATGCACATGTGCTTTTGGTGTGGCATAAAGAAATTTATTGAAATAACTTTCAGTGTTCACTAAGTTATTGAAAAAACTTTTTTTTTTTTTCCTGAAAATTTTGCTGTAGGTGTGAGTATGCGAGTCTGTGCCTGCAAGGGTGGGGTTTTTTTATTGCATATGTTTTGCGTTTTGGTAGCAAATTGAAATCATTTGTACAAACAACAAAGTTACAGTTAAATATTTTCAAGGAAATATTTATTTCTTCATGGAAGCGTATTAAGTATTACATTGAGTCTGTTTTGTAGTTACAAGGACCTCATCTTAGCTATGGAACTAAGATTTCACTAAACTAACAGATAAAATTAAGAAAAACAATTTCCAGATTTTTGTTGCTACTGTTAAGACTAAATGTAAAAGAAAAAAAATCATATAATATTCTCTTTTCATTTCTCTGAGTACGCCCTTTTGATGAATACATTTTAGACCTTTTTCTATTAATTGCAGAGATGTAAGACTAAATCCAGCTGGTATAAATAATGAAGTGAATCTTCTCAAGAATTTTTCTGGGAAAGGAGAAGATACAGTACTGGAATCACTGGAATATACATCAGGTGCAGATCTATCATAGCTCACATATATATATATATATACACCCTTATTAAAGTACTTGGCTTCTATGTGAAATTTGGTAAATTAATTTCAGTCATGAATTTAAAGTGTTTATTTCTACTTTAAAGTTATAAAGTAAAGTAAGACCTATTTTCAGATATAGAATGCTGTTCTTCAGCCTTTAGTTATACAAATAATCTCCAATCATATGAATTTCTTCAGTGGAAGTAGAGGAAGTAAACCGAGTCCCTGATACTGAGAAGTACTAAGCACAGTTGCAGTTCTTAGCTGGATCAGGCCATGGGTCACAGAGCTTTGCATGATTAATTGTTAACTGAGTATGTATTCTTAAGAGTAAGGTATTTTGGGGGGAATTTTATTTGTATACTTGTTATATTAATCATCAAGCATAACTATTAAAAAATACTTTTAAACTGGATGAAAACACTATTGCTAATTGGTTACAGATTACACGTTCTCTAATGGATGCCGAGCTCCTCCCTGGAGACAAGTGCATGGAGAAATTTGTTATTTAGTCATCAAACCACATGACACTGATCCTTTGTATATCACTTGCAGCACAGCAGGAGTGTTTTTAAATGGAGTAAGTAATAATAAAGGATTCCATGGAGTAATACATATTTTTATGTGCTAAAATCAAAAATCCATCAGGTTTAGGGTAGTGGTGTTGAGGCTGTAAGACCTGCAGAGTTAGTTTATTGGTACAGAAGGAGAAGACACAGTAATAAATGTATGCTAGTCTTCCCATATGTTTTGAGTGCATTTTCTGTAAGTTTTATACTAGTGTATTCTGCACTTTTTGCTAGCAGTGTTTGTTTAGTCTTTAAATGTGCCTTAACCGTCCTTCATACTGTTCCTATTTAAAGGTACTGTGGGACTAGATGCCTCTCTTGTGCCTCATTGCTCTTGATCTGAGGTGTAATATTATTGTGTGTGGCTAACAGCTTGCTTTTGTCTTTTTATAAATAATAAGCAGTTCTTCTTTCAGTGGAAGCTTTTTAGAAATTATCTCTTTTACTTTTCATTTTGGTTACCTCTTTCCTTACAAATAGGTTTTATTTAGGCATAATAGTCCCTTATGTGCGTTAAGCAGTGACCAAAGCTCTTACATTCATTTTTAAGAGAGACTGATGTCCATCAGGCATAACTCCACAAATTGATTTCCTCAGAGTTAAAAAACCCAGGGAAATTCTGACTTAGCACATTTTTAATGGATGAAGTTCATAAAACTTAGGCTAGCCAGGTCACATTATTTTCTGATCCTTTTAGGCATCTGTCGTACTGCATTGGAAGTTCATATTGGTTGGTTGCCAGAAGCCGAACATTCTTTTCAGTGGAACTACACACAGTACAATTAACTGATAGTAATGACTTGCAGAATTCTATGTGAGATCTTGATTATCTGTTGGGATCCATGGAGATGATCCATGCATCTTTACAAAGCATTATTGAAGTTTGATGGACTCTGCTGACCATGATACTTCTGTACCTAATTTATTACAGTATGACCTCTGTGCACTTTAGCACTATTTTATGACACAGTTTAAGTTACCTGTGTAAGGCAATGCTATTAATAATTTTAAATTTATTCTTTTTTTAAGGGTCAACTAAAGGGTAAAGATGACATTGACTATGAAAGAAAAAGTGATGTATATAAAGATATTGTCACATTTTTAAGGGAGAGATCACCTAGATTTGTAGAAAATATGTCTAAACAGGTATGTATTTACTGATACGGGATGTATATTCTACTTTGTACAAACGTACATTGTACATTGGTAAGAATTACATTATAAACCTGGCTGAACATTTATGTTCAATGATAAATCTGTGATAAATGAATTTTAAAGATCCAAGTGCTTTTGCTATTTTTCTTTGGATTTGTTTCAGTTTCTACTAAATATGTTCCTTTCATAAACAGCAAATAATACACTATTTCATGTATTGTTCTATTGTACCTTATTATGAGGTTTGATCCAACATGTGAGGTCAGCTTCTAATTTTGCATAAAAAAATTTTGCTCATCTTCTAGTGTTATTCTTTATGGAGCACTGGAAATGTTAAAGAAGGGAAATACGATATCCTCACAGAAAAGGTCAACTTTTTTTAGGACAATATTTTTCTGTGATCAAAACCACTTGAATTTTTATCTTCATTATTTGTAACCCAAATATAAATAATAGCCCAACTTTTTTATGAGAACTGCCTGATTTAAATATCAGAGCTGAGAGTTAAGCATCCAGCTTACACACTATGTGTTGCTTCAGCCACTGTAAAATGCAACTGTTTTGGCTTTTGTATAGAGCTATATATTTGCTGGAATCACACAGTGCCACTACAATTTTAGTTATTTCATCATTCCTAATAAAAACCTCTTTTTTTTTTCAGTTTTCTAGTGTGGTTATAACAGATTAATAACTTGGTAGTAAAATTCGTTACAGGCTAAAACTTATCAAAAGTTTTATTATGGTTATTTATATGCAATTTTAATTATTGCAAGAAGGAAGTCATTAACAGGGAAATTTTGTTATGCTTTAGTTCTGATTTTTTTCTGGGATATAGGGCTGATTTTTTTTTTTTTTTGAGATATAGATATTTGACAGTTCTGAAAGAACAGAACATTTCAAGTTGAACACATAACTACAGTAGCTTATATTAACAGTAATGGAATTCAATTTGTTCTGTTTGAAAGTGCAAAAAGTTCTAAAATGTGTTATATTTATCCCATAGGCAAGTATTTTTTTAATTTTATATCTACATATTGGTTTACATTTCATAAATGTGAAAATATTAGTGTTTTTAGACATAATTAATGATTTAATGTATTTTCAAAGTGATTTGGCTTAATTTGATGGTCATGAAAGGTAAAATAGGGTAATATTTTAGTAATTTTTACCATTCTAATCCTAAATGTTAATATAGATTAATGTTAATATCGATAATAGAGATAATATACCTTTATTTACTGGTTTTCTGATCTTATAAAGATACTGTAGCTATTCAAGAAATGTGTACACTTATTAAATAAGAGTAAATAAATAGAATTTTTCCTGTTTCCCTTCAATTGTTATATAAATCAGTTAGTATTCCCTGACTGTGTAAAAAAGTCTATGCTGAAGAGTACAAATTACACCATTTGAATGGTTTAGGAGTATCATATCATATTGCCTTGCTGAAGAGCTTGTTTAGTACATTCTGCATTCTAAAATGAGAATTGAAACAAGTTAATATAGGAGAGCTGCAGAGCATTTGTATTTGACGGAAAACCTTCTCTACTCTAGAACTCTGGAAAAGCAGAGAAAAGCTGTATTTCCAAGGTTGCCTACATCAAATAAATTATGACTGGAAATAGTTTTGATTCATTTTCTGAGTAGAGCTTCAAAAAACTCATTGCATACACATATATTGCAAAACCAATTAACTTTTGTAATATCTTCTTGGCCCTGTTTAAGCTAACATTTAGAATTGGTGTGTTGGCATGTAGTGCTGTAGGAAACATACTTTTTAACTTGTGCTTAGCTGGTCAAGCTACAACGTCAATTCCCCTATGATTTGTCTGGTTTATTGTGTGTTAAATTGTCTTGTCTAGAGTACATTTTCAGAATGAGAGAATTGGCATGAGTTAGTTTATGATTAGACAGTTGGGTCAGCAATCCTGGAACAGCCGATTCACATCAGGGACTAGTTGAAAACAGATCATACTGTGACAGTCTCCTTAAAACCGCCTTGAATCAGATACATAAAGGAATGTCTTCACCTATATGGTAGAGACAGCTGCAATAATAATAATAATGTAATGCTCGTATGCTGTCTTTCCTGTAAAAATTGAATATGTTCCAACAGAGAAGAAGAGTTGACAAGAGTCCTTTCTGTTCTGGGTATTTTTGATCAGCCATGGTAGTAGACACAGACAGCTGAAGGATTGGTAGGTGCCACTCAGCGCCATTCTTGTATGTGACTTGTTCAACAATGCTTTGTCCTGAGAGACAGAAGATGAAAAAACTGAAATGGAATGTGTTTATATTAATTCTAAACTATATCAAATTAAATTACTTGGAACTGAAGTCTAGTGGTTTATCATAGCCTATTTTCGGTTTTATGTTCATAATTTTTTTGTGGGAATTTTTTGTAAATCCTTTATGCAGGGAAATAATTTTTATATAAATCATCCATTGAAAGCAAAATGACTGACTTTGCAATTCCAGATCTTAAAACTCATTTGGAATTAGGTTCTATAAATGTGCTTGTGTCACAAATTATTTAATATATTAGAAATTGAACAACACCCAATATTCAAGTATGTTCAGGAAGCTCCAAATTTAGCTAGTTCATTTACTTGAAAAACTTTAATTTGCACATGGTAACAGCTACTTTCCAGGTTAATGTTTCATTCTTTAAACTTATTATACATTTACTACATACAGTTTTTAAGCACAGCATCCTGGAATTGTGCTTATAACTTACTGGTTTAATATGCATTATTCATATAGCAATATGACTGACAAACCATGTCTCCTTCTTTTATTAGGAATATAATTTTTTTAAAGAACCAACACATGAGAAGAATTATCAGTGTATGGAAGCAGTTGATGCCAAGGTCTCTGGCCAATCCCAGAACCTTTATGATTTTACAGAAAAGAGTGTATGTGAGAAAGTGAAAAGTTCTGCAGCAAGAAGGAGATCCATTGACAAGAAGAAATTAGAACCGTCTATGAAGTGGAAGAATACTGGGCTTTCTGCTTCCCACAGATAAGTAGTTATCTTTATAATTGAATGTTCCTATAGATCTCTCTAAACTGTGCTCATGATTGGACTGCATGTTGTAGGTTTGCATTACTATCTGAAGTTAGGAGCAACAACCCAAATTTACTACATGTTAATTTCTAAGAAGAGAGTACAGACTACCAAAGAGATTTCTCAGATTTCTTCTGTCATGCCACAACTTTGATGGTGTTTGGTCATTTCCACAGCAAGGCAGGGAAATACCTTGCAGTACTCGTCCTCCAGGACTGTGATATTATCATATTTTTGGTGTAAAATGCCCTTTAAAGCAAGACAGAGTAAACAATGTAATCTAAACCACACTTTCTGAGGGAGGCAAAAGAGCTCCAGAATGGAAAATCAGGATGACTCTTATACTACCAATTTTTAATTATTTCATTTTATATGAGCCACTTTCTAGCTCTGCTTAGCAACAGTCTTCACTAATGAGATGATTATCTCAAAGTTTGGGCACCCAAAAATAGGGTATACATATATTGGATATTGTTGGCTTTGTCTTCTGAATGTTTCCTGATTTTGTGTTAATGGAGGGAGAAGAATATCTGAAGGAAAGGCTTGATTGCCATCCTACAAAAAAAGTTAGTGTCTTCTCAAGTTTGCCAATTTGACATGTTGCGAGAAACATTTTAAGAGGTTTTGGATGGGACCTACAGTCATCCGTTAAAAAAAAGTGGTTTTCCAGGGACAGGAGCCTATCTTTTTCCACAGTCATTGTTAACAATGAGTCTAGATGCAGTGAAATTGGCTGTAATCATGAGTAGTGTTTTCTTTTATTATTGTGACTGTGATAGTATGATCAGTCCAGGCTCAAAAGGACATTTTGTTTTCACAACATTGTAAATTAGGGACAAAAAAGCGCCGGAGATTGTACCCAGATAGGCCTAGGAGTCTTCTTGGAATATGAGGAAAGCAAAATATATTGTATTCAGCATGATCAAAGCTATGGAACAGCTCAGTGTGTGGAAGAACTAGGCAGACTAGAACTCTTCTGCCTGGAAAAAAAGATGACTGGGGGACAATAAGACAAAAAAAATCATAACTGGAAACAGTAAATAGGGAACAGATAGTCACTGTCTGTTCTAATACAAGAATAAAGGGCATCAAATGAAAATGAGCCAGTGAAACCAGTTCAGAACAAAGGGAGAGACTTCTTCATACAGCACATGGCTAAGCTCTGAAATTCTTTGCCACAGGAGGGTAGAGGCCATTGGTTTATGTGAGTTCATAAAGCAACCAGACACTTTCGTGGAAGAAAAATCCAACCAAAAGTGTTAATGCAAGGACGATCAGAAGTTCCCTGAACCACAATTTGCTAAACAATATTCTGGAAAAAAAGTTTCTGTGTTCTTCTATGGTTCTTTTGCAGTTACTTAGATAGCTGCTATTGGTCATGGTTGGAGAGGTATCCTAGGATAGATAGACCTGTGGTCTGGCTGTATATACTCATTCTTTGTGCTTGTATCACATACAGGTCAGCATAATACATTTTTTTTCTAATATTCCACTGTTTTATTAAGGCAAAATTAATCATTTAAGACACAGCATACTTTCTTTTTAATGAAGTTTACTGTACAGGTTCATAAGCTCCTATGTACTGATATATGCCCAACCATAGCTTTTTGGTTCTATGTATATATAATAACTTTTTTAAAAAAATAAACCCAAATATTTTAGTGACAAGGCTGCAAAAAAAGATACTGAAGAAGAAGGAAGAAGTAGTACTATGTTGCTGAAAATAAAAAAGAAAGCCAGTGACATTTCTTCTGAATCTGTTAAAGTACAACCAGCTTCAAAATGGTATGGGTAACTTATTTTTCTTCCTTCAGTTTTTTATTTTTATTTTCTGTATCTGCAGTAATTATCACCATACTTAGTATTTGGTAATGTCAGTTATGTTTTTCTGATTCTGTTATTAGGCAGTGTTGTCATACCTGTTTAAAATGTATTTGTTCTTATTAGTTTATAGCTGTTCAAAGTGGGTGATGCTGTTTATTTATTTTTAGTAAAACATCAGGCAGGTTTGAAGAAGTTAGTGAAAGTTCCTCAGAGACTGAGGAAGATGAAGAACAGCCTGTACGTCATCAGGAAGGAAACACTGATTTGCCATCAGAATACTGGGGAATTCAGAAACTTGCAAAATATTTAAAGGTAAATTAGAAGCATTGGTAAATTTTATTTTAAAAAAAAGCTATTCTTCTACATCTGAGGACACGAGACATAAAATATTTATAACAAGATATAACCAGAATAGCCCTGCCATGTAGTATGTTCAAATCCTGGAACTGTGGACTTTCCTATCACCCACCCGATTCCCCTGCATTTTTTAATCTGCTGTTTTTGGCTTATATAGACCCTTAGATTAAACCATCTGTTCAGTGTTATTTAAAACTTAAGATGGTATAATTTCTTTATTAATTATTAGGTTTCTGGTTTGCTTTTTGGGTGAAACTTTCCAAGATATTTCTTTATGTGGATAATAACTTTCAAGAGTTTTTATTAAAACTGAATACTTGCCTAAAGTCTTTCATCAACTATGATTAATGCATGACTGAAGTAATTCTAACATAGTCTTGTGTCTGGATAGATGCTGTTGGTGGACAAAAAAACGTATGATAAACAGGCATCCTCTAAAACAGAAAAAAGTTTTTTTACAGACTTGTTGAAAATCTTTTGGAACAGATAAATATAGATGTTTAGAACTCTATGTATATCTGAAACATGTAAAAAAACCCCAACAACCCTCTACTATTCTGGAAAACTCTAAAACTAATTATGTTTTTCCCTCAGGAGAAATTCCTTCACAAGTTTGTACTGGAATTTATGTACTGTAAGTTACTAATAAAAGCACTGATTTATTTGTTTTTTTGAGTACAGCTACAGAGTATATACATCCGACTGATAAAATGATGGTGCTGGCATGTGGTACAGCAGAAATACTTGTGAGGAATAAGCAAAGTTTTGGCTCCTTTCAGTCCTTTAACCGTTGTAGAAGAGTAACTTGGTGTCTTGAACAGTTTTCAGTGCGCTCACACTGCTTGTTCTGAGTTTATGTATGTGGGACCTGTGCTCATAGTTGTAGCCAAAGAGACATAGAAAAGCATGGATAACACAGGTTTCTCCACAATTCTTTATGCATTATCTTTTCTAGGTTGCACCTCTATATTCTTGTAATTTTGCCTATGCCAAAGTAACCCTTTGTAAGCATAATCTGGTGTAACATTCAGAATGTAACTTGCCAAGCCATCCGCTAATGCTAAACACACTATATATACATTTTGCCTGATACAGTTGTTTCTATTTGCATGTAATTAGAGTTCAAGGTGATGTTTTCAAACCTTTCAGTCTACTAATAGCTTGCTTCTGTGTGTCTTATGGATCACTTCTTTTACTTTTCTGAGAGCTCAGAGAAATAGCCATGCTACTTTTTAGTAAAGAACTGAGGTCCTCCTGGAGAGGATACTTGAAATTCATTATGGTTGACAAACTCCTAGAAATCTTTTCACTGGCCCATCTTTGGACCAGCCTCTTTATTGACAAGGCTCTTGTCTTCTGGTTACATAATTCTCAAACTCTCTTTAATCTCTAGATTCTTCATATAGTCATGTTTAGATTTTAGTGTTGGATTTGATTCAGTACTGAGACAGATCTACACTTCCATGAAACCATTCTGAATGCAGAGTGAGAATGGCAAACAGAAAAATATACTTTTCATGCTCCTCTGTTTTAGAAATTAAGTATATTTGTTCCAACTGTCAACAAGCAAAATTAATTAATGGCTTAGAAGTAGAAAAAGAAAGGGGAGCATTTTTATCAAATTGTGAGTACCTGTTAAGTGTTTATAATACAAAATTCCATCATATGAAAAAGTTTTGTTATGAAAATTCAAATGTATACTTGTTTATGTATTCATGCTCACCCGAGTCTTCCAATAGTTCTTTAAATTAGATATAAATTAAACAAATTACTTGAAGATATGCTTAAAATAGTTCTCTGCTGATTCTTAGCTACGTAAAGCAAGAAATCCCTAGTGTCAGATAAAGCTGAAAAGAGATGCCTCGGTGCCATACCACAGACAGTGGTTGAAATTTTTTATTGATGGAGTGCTACTTTAGCTTGCACATGGAATTCATTTTAATTCAAGTATAAATACTGCACTTCTGGCCAGACTTAGGAGGTTTTTTGGCATTCTTGTTGTTCATGTAGGCAAGTGTTCACGACACATGCAACATAAGAGAAAATAAATTTATGACTGCAATATTTAAGTATCTACAAGTATAGCTATATAGAAGCACAAATTTCAGAGGGCTTGTGTGTCTTCAAAGGTTGTATACATTGTTTGCACATCTTAAAAATTTAATAAAATGCCTTAAATAATAGATATTTGAGATACTGAGTTAGAAAACATAATAATTTGAGGGTGCAACCATTTTTTAAATTTCTGCTAAAGTAAATATGAATCACAGTTCAGCAAGACTCTATAAAAGATCAATTTGCAAACACAAAAATTCCATAAAACCTGAAAGATACCTAGTTTTTATACCAATGATTGTTATTAAAACTTGAAAAGATGGTTGCTTCCTTTATAAAACAAAGTTGCCAGGTCCTCTGTGAATTGTGCCTGTAGGCTATGTATTTGTATACTTCATGGAGAGAAAATTGCAGTGCAGGGGAAATTCCCTTCTGACTTTTTGCCCTTCTCCATTACCCCTCCTTTCTGGGAAAGAGCAGCCATGTTGGAATTGCTCCACTGGGAAGCAGCTGCTTCTGTGGTCTGGCTCCTTGTCCTACCTTCAAGCTTCCCAGGGCTTTGAAACAGAAGATAGAGCATGTGTGCTCTTGCCATATCTCCCCATCGATGTAAGAATGGGCAGTAAAGATAGATCAGTGAGCTTGGTGATGCCATTATGTTAGGCATCTTTTGGGGCTAGAGTAGATAAAATTGGAATGAAGTGCTCTAATGATGTTTGTAACAGTGAGATTCACTCAGGAGAGCCTCCTTCAGATTTCACATTGCTTATTAAAGTAGTGCTTCGGAAGTATTAGATTTCTAGAGGAAGGACTACATTTTATGTGTGAAAAATTTTAGGAATAGGGTGAAGGGGTCACATTTTACAATGATCTTTTTACTAGAAATGAGGAACATCAGGTAGAAATGCAGAATCTTCTCTGTGGCAGAGCTGGGGCTGTTCACTCAAAAAAAAAAAAAAAAAGGAAAAAAAGGTTAGAGCTGGGCACAGTGCTTTGTACTGCCTGCTGTTGAGCACTGATTATTGCTAGTTTTAAGATAAAATTGAGATGTTGAGAGGTGAATTGGGGCTGGTGGCTGCGCCAGGAATAACTCCGATCTCCAGAACTAGTCTTTAATCCCTTAAGTCCCTGTGCTGCTCAGTTTTGGTTCCCTGCAAGGGTGTGATTTATATGTACACCTATGCCAGGGTGAGCTCTGGATAGAGTTCTGCAGGACCATGTCACTTACAGAATTCTTCCTTCAATTTCTTACCTGGGAAGTCATTCTACTTTTGGCTATATTTCAGTGGTACACTAGTGAAACCAGTCAAGTCTCACACCTCATGTAAAATATCCACTAATTTCGTATCTGTTTTGCATTACTCCTGTTCAAACGACCTCATTCCCAGAACAGCATTGTGGTTTTTTTCTACTTTGGAATCATAGGTGGACAAACTTGCCGTCTCTCCTCAGCTGTTTGCATCTTGTGCCAGATCCACGAGCTAGAGAAAGACTACGGTGCTGCACAGGAGCTAGGGAGGATATGCCCCAAGTATGGCTTTGAACACCAGCTCCCAGGTGGCCGTCTACCCTGGTGCCACATAGCAGTCGATGGCTGGGAAGGGAGGACATCTGTCACACAACTCAGTGAAATCTCATTGACTGGACAAGGAAAAGGTTGAAAGAACTGCTGGAAACACTGAATGTATTCAGGTCTAGCCCACAGCTGCATTTTGGCAGGACCTTTGGAAGACTGTTGCGTTCAAGCAACATTTCTGTAGCTGGCAGGAGGCCCCTCTGTATTGGGCTTACATTACATAAAGATGGCAAACAAACCAGGGAGGCAGGAATGTACAGGAATATTCTTTCTGGTCTTTGCCTTTTCCCTTTCCTTTCACTCCAACTCCCTCTAAAAGTCCTCACTTATTTCTAGGCAATTGGGTCAAGGAAATTAAAGTCTTAAGAGATTAAAGCTGTGGATCTAGTTCTCCTGGTGCATGTGTTGCAGTGAGTATGGACTGGGCAAGATCTACCGCCCGTCACTTCTGCTTTCCCTTTGCAGTGCGAGCAGAGCTGAGCCAGGAGGCTGTAGTGTGGCTGCTGCACCACTGCTCTTCTCAGAAAGTTCATCAGTTAGGGAAATGCAGCTGCGTGTTGGCCTACAGGAAGGAATAGTGGATCCCCAGCTGAGCTCTTTATACATGGAAGGCAGTAGCATTCTTGGGCAAGAAAGGTACGGGTTAGAAATGCAGAAAGTCAAATAAACAGTGAAAAGATGCAGGGAGGCTCTGCCAGGAGCTAGGATGCAGGATCTGAAATGAGACGTTTATGTAGATATTGTTGAAAACCATTATGGGATAGTTTTATTTCCCAAGAGAAGACAAGGAGACATCTGGAGGTTGGAATTCAGGGGCTTGGGGCAAACCAGAGTGCAGGAAATCCATGTGTGTATGAAAGGTAGGAATGTGGACAAGGAAAGTCCAAACTACTGCAGAAACAGGGAGCCTATTTCAGAACATTTGAGGACCAAATCTTAAAAGGCAGGGGTGTGTGTGTAGGGAGAGGGGGTTCTTTTGCACTCCATATGCAAGGTTTGCAATGTGACATTTCTGTGCTTGGAGGGGAAGGAGGAGGCAGTCAGCTGCTGCTTGCACACTTCCCTACTACTATTCATTAATATAAAGTCAGTCACAAGTTTATCTCTAAGATGAGACTTGTCGTATCTGAGGTCTAAGGTTTTAGATATCTGAAAAATAGTTATCTTCCTCATAAAATTTTGTGATAGAAAACATCAAGTCTTTCAAAATAAATTATTGCTTTCTTGTGTAAATCAAAATTGTGTAACAGTCTCAGCCATCCTGTGGTTTAACAGGTGGTGTATACAGCAACTCTTTTATATGAACCAATTATAAATTTATGGC